GGGGGGGGGGGGGGGGTAGAGAGAGAAACATCCACGTGAGAGAGAGAGACACATGGATTAGTTGCCTCCCACCCACGCCCCAACCAGGGCCAGGGATTGAACCTGCAACCCAGGTACGTGTTCTTGACCGGGAATCGAACCCAAGACCCTACAGTGACCCGATGCTCTAACCATTGAGCTATACGGGCCAGGACAAGCTCGGAACTGTGCTGGGTCAGAGGCAGGAAGCAGTGACAGGTGGCTCGGCGCCCAGGGGAGAAAGACCTGCCGTGGTGGGGATGCTGGGACGCAGGCTAATCGGCTTCAGCCACGTGGCCGCTCGCTGTCCGCAGATCCCCCAGCGCTGGTCAGAGCCACGCGGAGGCTGCAGGCAATAGGAAGGCGCTGTGGCCCCTGCCCTCTCCAGCCTGTCCATCTGCCTGAGGCGCCCTCGCCATTGGCAACATTCTCCCTCCCGTCCTCAGTGGAACGAATTCAAACGTGGAGGCGTTGCAAACAGGACAATGAATAAACCCGCCACGTCCCCATGGGAACTCGGCCGGGGGACAGGGTGGCCTTATCTCCCAGCAGCAGGCGGCCCCGGGCGGCGGCCGTGCCTGCCAACCCGTCTGCCCCTCGGCAGCCGGACGTGCGTGTGGGTGCGCCTTTGTGGAAAGTGGGGACATTTATGCAAATTGGCCCCGGTCCTGTCAGAAGATGGCCTTGGCCGTGGAAGGCTCTACTCTTTCCTCGGTGCAGAAACGGGAACTGAATGGTCTTCTGGACCCAAACTGTCTGCCCAGGCGTCGTGACTGAGGGCGCCCATCCCTTTGGCGTCTAGTCCTCTCTCCTCAGCCCTCTGAGCCCAGGCTCTGTAGTTATGCGAATGTTGGGGGGTAGGGGGGCGCGGTGCGGGGTTCAGAGAGGTGTCGCAGTAGTGCTGTCTTGTGGACATTCTGAGAACAGCGCCCTAGAAAGGAATTCTGCAAGTTGCCATCGTCTTGCTTTTTGCTTTACTCTTTCTAAGCTTCCAACCCTCCCTCCGTCCTGCTAACCCCAGTCATTCCCCAGTCTCCCCGGATCGCCTAAGCCCTTCCCTCCCTTCCCTCCCTCTAGGGTGCATCATCAGCCCCTTCCTTACCTCTGCCTGGAGCTGCAGTGACCCCAGTAAGTCACTCTCCAGGGCAGCTCTGCACTGCCACTGAGTATATACCTAACAGCATCCTGGTGATAACACGGCACTAATAGTGATGGTGTCACCGTGGAGGATGTCTACCATGCTTGTGTACACTTTTTAAAATATATCTATCTATTGGTTTCAGAGAGGAAGGGAGAGGGAGAGAGAGAGAGAAACATCAATGATGAGAAAGAATCATGGATTGGCTGCCTGGAATGAAGCCCACAACCCAGGCATGTGCCCTGACCGGGAATCAAACCCGTGACCTCCTGGTTCGTAGGTCGATGCTCAACCACTGAGCCACACCGGCCGGGATCTTGTGTGCATGTTCTGGGCACTGAGAGGAAAGGCTCCCACCCAGCTGTGGGCTCAGGGCCCCGGACGGCTGTGCGAGCCCCTGCCACGCCCCCGAGCCCCGGATGTTCAGTGGAACACGAACGCTATTTCCAAATTAAAGTGGAGAGACGCAGAGGAGTGTGTGCTAGGACGGGGCAGCATGGACGGGGCACCGCAGGGACAATGGCCTGGGGCCAGGGAGTCTGAGAAACCAGGACGATTCGCTCCAAGTTCGGATGCGCACGTGGACTCACATGCGCTCCGCTCTCCGGCTCCGGAGAAGCCGGGAGGCCTGGGGCAGAAGGTCAGCCTGGAGGTGGGGACTCGACCTGCTCCCCTGCCTTCGGGACGCACAACAGGAGGCGGCGGCCCGCCAGGCCCCGCGAGGCGGCCACACGGCACACGGTCACTCGTGAAATATTGACAGAAGGGCTGCTGTATGTACCAACTTTATAAAACTCAGGAATCTCATGTTTCTAATCCTCACCCGAAGATATGTTTATTGACTTTAAAGGGGCGGGGGGGAGGGGGAGAGAACCATCGGTGTGAGAGAGAAGCATTGATTGGTTGCCATCATACACATCGGACACACAACTTTTTGGTGCATGGATGACACTCAGACCAACTGTGCTCCCCAGCAAGGACTCTTTTTATTTTTTTTTAAAATATATTTTATTGATTTTTTACAGAGAGGAAGGGAAAGTGATAGAGTTAGAAACATCGATGAGAGAGAAACATCGATCAGCTGCCTCCTGCACACTCCCTACTGGGGATGTGCCCGCAACCAAGGTACATGCCCTTGACCGGAATCGAACCCGGGACCCTTGAGTCCGCAGGCCGACGCTCCATCCACTGAGCCAAACCGGCCAGGGTGCGAGGGCTCTTTTTTAAGATGCAGATGATAATAGTACCCGCTCCCTAGGTCATCGTGAGCATTAAGCAAAATGACTCATGCAAACTGCCTCCACTGTGTCTGGATGTGGCCGATGCCAAAACGTGGTCATTGTAATTCCGTGCTCCAGGGTGGTCATCCCAGGGTCAAAATGCACAAATTAATCTCTTCCTCTGCACGCCATCTGCTTCGTAGAATAGCCTCTCCCTTCGGTCAGGTCGCCAGGGTAGGCGCTCATTCTGCGTCTCATTTGTTTTTAATTTCGCCCAGGGCGTCATCAACGTGAAATAAATATTTATTAAAAGCAGCGGATTTAAGTAGCACTGCTTGTGCGCGCGGTTTGCATTCATATATTCTCTGCTTTTCGCCAGGCCTCCGCGGGGAGGCCGCGCTCATTGTGCCGTCATAGTTCAATTAGTAGAGTTTCCATATTTTATTTTTCTTTTGTGGCCAAAAGAAGATGGCTCCTGAGGCACCAGAGGTTTTTGGGTTTTTTGGTTTTAAATGGCTAAAATGGCAATTTAGGAATCTTCTCATGCAGACCCGGGGGGATGAGAGGGGGACTCCTTCGCAGGCAGCACGGGACTCTGAGCCCATCAGCCTCAAAAGGCGGGGTGTGGAATCCCCCGAAGCGCTGCAGGGCTCCGTGGGGGGCTGCGGGGGCCACCCCGAGGGACTGGATTGAGCCTGTCTGCGTGGTGATCGCAAACGGGTTGACTCATCGAGTTTACGTGTGCTGTGGGCAGAGGGCTTCTCCCAGCCCCCTTTAGAGCGGACTTCGTCATAGAGGGTCACCTGTCTGCTGCTTCCTGGGCACAGCGTGCTCCCAGGTGGAAACCACTGAGAGAGAGAGAGAGAGAGAGAGAGAGAGAGAGAGAGAGAGGAGGAGGACTGGGCCTCAGAGCCGTGTCAGCAGCCTGCAGCCCCCCTAATGCAGACACCACCGCAGACGTGACCAGTCTCCACACACAGACTTCGTCTCCCCGCCCCCAGGTCTGCCTCAAGGAGCTCAGACAAAAAGCCAACCCAGGCTGCTTTCCCCCCAAGGTCAAATCAAAGTCACCTTGGGAAAGTGACTTTTCCGTGTGCCCCTGGGAGGACACACAGGAGACAGGTACTGTGTTAACATAAGGAACATTCAAACCTGTAAAGAATCTGTGAGTTTGAGCCAAACTGTCGACAATTGGCAGGAAGCAGAATCTCCATGCATTGGGACAATGCTCCAGAGAATAGCGGTTTTATTTAATTTATTTTTATAAATTGGCTTCCAAGGAAGAGGCCTAAGTGAGTTACATGAAATCCACTGGCGACAGATTAGGGAGGCGGGAGAAAGCTAAGGGGGAGCGGGGGCTGGGGGATGGGGGGCCTAGAACCTCTGGGATTGGATAAAAAGTAAAATGATAGACACATGCTTGTTTGACACAGGTGGGCATAGGATAGTGAACAGCCAACAATGAACAGTGAGGGAATTTGTGGTCTCTGCCCTGACGCCATCTGTTGGACCCTGAGGGGTCTGGGAAAAGGGAAGTTACACGTTACCCCGACATTCCACAGGTGTGTTTGCAAAAAGATGGTAGGTGCTAAATAAAGATCGAAGTTGATCTTTGCCAAGAAAGATACCGGCCTAGGACACAACTACCTTCCATAAACTGCTATTTAGTGAAAGGCTTTCATTTCAGGCCCCCAGTGGCGTTCCTGTAGGTCTGAGTTTGCAAGGCCGCCACAGCGCCAGCATCCCAGCATCGGGCGGACAGACAGGCCTCCGAACTCCCGCTGGGCGAAGCAGCCCCACCGGGAGCCCAGGGCTCTCAGGGCAAGAGGGAGTTGGCTCGAGTACCAGCTCGACCATGGTTTGACCTGGTGATCCTGGCTTCACACACCCGTTTCCCTCACACGGCCCCCCGCCCTTGCTTGGTGTTAGAGGGCGCGTTATTCCACCTCTATCTGCCCCAGATCCTGGGAATCCCCATCTAGTGCCCCTGTCAGTTAAGTGACTATTGTCCCCTGCTCAGCGGTGTGAAGGGGGCCTGGTTTGACCACAAAGCAGCCGTTGAAGAGCCAAGATGAATACGGTGCTGAAAGGCCAGGCAACCAAAAGTTCCCTCTTGCCGAGGAGTGGGGACACCTGGTCTACCAGGTGCCCTGCAGGGCTGCCCGGGGAGAAGGGGAGACTGCCCTGAGCGAGGCCCCCAGCACACGCTCCCACGGAGCTCCCAGAGCGGGACGTTCATCTTGAGAAGAAAGTGTCTCCCGCTGTGGCTTCCACAGACCCGCTCTGCCCCAGTGCGACCGTGGGAAGAGTTTCACTGAGCACATCTCTGCTTGGTCTGAGATGCTTAGTTCTTGCGAACACCGAGTCATCAGCTAACCGTGAAACTCCTGAAAGGGTGTTCCCTTCAGAAGGGAGAAGGGCTGGGGTAGGAGGTTAGGGTGCCACGGTTTGTATTCTGTCCGTGGGTAAAACACCCCCCCCCCTTCCTTACCCTCAAGCTGGAAAGGAGAGATGCCAACCGCAGACAGGCAACAAGCTACCCAAAGAGACCAGCCTTGCCAATGAGACGCGGGCACAGGCTGCTGGTGAAATCTCGGTTTATTAGTGCGTTTGGTCTGAGGAACTCAGCTCCGTTTCTTGACAGCCAGGTAGGTCACGCCCAAGACTCCCACAATGATGGTCCCAGAGAGGCCGGCCACCCACAGGGCCCCGGAGTCTCCTGCAGCACCTGGCGGAGGGGAGGGGAGGTAAGGGTGGTGACCTGGGGTGAGGGAGGGGAAGGGAAATGGGGGTGAGGGAGGGGAAGCTTTGGTTTGCCCCCTGGTCCAGGCGGGCCCTTAGGTCTTCCACTCACTTGAGTATTTAGGAAGCTTTCCGGAAGGGTCCTCCGTGGCCTGCAGCAGGATCATGGGGCCCTGGCTCGAGATGAAGGCGGTGCTGTTGGGGTCATGGGCGTCAGAGCGTCTCCTTCCTGTCAGAGGGAGGGGGAGGGGGGTTTGTTAGGGTTTTGCTCATGGGGTTGTGGGGGGTCAGGGAGTGAGAGTCCAATGTGAGGCAGGGCCCCTCAACATGGACAGCTCTGCTCCGGCCTGAAGAAAACCATGTGACGTCTCACACACTAAACCTCCTCTGAGCTGGCCTTACACCTCCTATTAGGACGTTAATAGGAATCTGAGCAAGACAGGCTCCATGTAGCGCTGTTACCTTATTGCACCGGAATGGGGGCCTCCAGCTCATGTCAGACTGCCCTGCCCTGCCCTTCTTTCCTGAACAGTCACTTAGACAATAAATCGCCTATGAACACCGCGATACAAAGGTAACTGGCGATCGGTTCAGAGAGCAGAGCTTTGTTTGAATTCCGCGTCTTTCGCCAGCGACGGGGCCTTGGACAAGTTGGCTCTAGTTCTCGGGAAGGATGTGGTAGCGTTGGAGTTAGACATGTGATACTTAACAGGTCTGTGTGTGTGTGTGTGTTTGTACCAGCAGAGCCTTAGAGCTTCAGGGGACATGGGTCCTATTAATTCAGGGGCGAGACAGTAAATGCTAGTGGATCAGGCGGGGACACACACACACACACACACACACACACACACACACATGAGCTTTGGGCCTCCCTACAGCGCGTATTCTATGCCTCCAGCCACGTCCACTTGTAGATCTTCAGGCCACGTGACCAGAGGTGCTTCAAGCAGGTGTAGAGTCTACCTTTACGAGCTGGCCAGGTAGAGGTGTGTGTGTATGTGTGTGTGTGTGTGTGTGTGTGTGAGTGTGTGTGTGTGTAAGAATCGGGCCACATGTGAGCCATGAACCAGTTGGACTCCTGGCCTAGTGAAAATTCATATGGAAAACGCTAAGGCTGAGAGTTGCTGGAGGATTTTTAGCGTCTGTTTAAAAGGCCTGGGATTCGGAAGCCTCATAGAAGTCCTTGGAGAGGCCTCGTTAATAGGCTCATCTCCAGTCTGAGTCCCGTGCACGCGGGTGGGAGGTTAGCCTGGGGCGCGTGTCGCAAGTTCGGATACTCACGCCTGGTCACAGGGCAGGCCACGCAGGACAGGGACCCCGCAGGCTGGCAGACGGACACGCTGCAGTGCAGGAACACCTGGGAGCCGAGAGAGTGGGGTCACGGGGTAGCCCCTCATCCCGAGAGCCCCATCTCCCCCGAGGCTGTGCAGGGGAGTTAGAAGGTCCCGGCAGCCCGAGCCCGTGCCACGGGGTCACTGGCACAGGGATTGTCCAGAGGCAGCACCAGCAGCCAACCTGGGAGGCCAGCTTGGCTGAGGAGTGGCGTCACGTGGACACCATGGAGCTGGGGGGTGAAGAGCCCTGCCGGGGGGCAGGGGAAGAGCATCATACCGGCCCCCCGAGCGCCCGTCTGGCCCCCGCGTCCACGAAGCTGAAGGTGAAGATGCTGAACCGCTGGGCGTGGGAAGGGAATCGCAGGCTCTCGGTCTCCGGGACGGGGATCAGCTGGGTCTGGTAGTTGTCGCCGGCGTAGGGGCATCTAAGCACGACACCCACAGTCAGGGGGAGGGGGCTTTCCTGGGGGGGCTGCCTCGGGCACAGGCGACAGGCGCTCACCCGTTCACCAGCAGCGCCCACTGCGGCTGCTGCCCGGGGTCGGGGCCGGGCGTGGCCCAGCACTGATGCAGCCGCAGCCCCAGGTCGGGGTCGGTCCTGTGGCGGAGGGCGACCTCCACGTAGATGGGGTCCCGGAGCAACTTCACCACCGGGTAGTCACCGGCGCGGTAGTAGGCGCTGTAGTTTCCATCTGCAAGAGGCCACAGCGAGGGGGAGAAGACGGAGCCAGGCCGCTCGGGGCTGCGTGAGACGGGCCATCGCCCATGCCAATGCCTCTAGCAAGTATCCCGTGGCCCAGGCGGGGTCTCCAGGCCCCGAAGAGGGACAGGCTCGGGCTGCAGCCAAGCGCTCCGGCCAAGAGGGTCTCACCTTTCGCGATCTGAAGCTCCAGGGTGAGGGCCCCGGGCTGGGTCTCGGGAAGGGGCGGTGGGAGAAGGGAGACCTGGACGTTGACCGGGAGGGCGCTGCTGCTCACAGGGTAGGCGCAGCTGACGCGGAGCCTGCAGAGAAACAGGCGTCAGCCGCTCCCCGGCGGGCGAGGCCCCTTGTGGTCATGCGGGAGAACTGCTGCTAGTAAGTGCCACGCTTGTCAACGTGATGGGCGTGGTTCCTGGCCTGGGGGTGGAGGGGCTCACTTTGAGTTGGGGAGACCATTGTGGAAAGGGGGTCAGTCTTTAAGAGGAAGATGTAAGAGATGCCTGAGAACAGACATGGGCCTGTAGAAACAGGCGCTTTCGGTGGAGAGTGCAGTCGGGGAAGATCAGACAGGGATTTGATACGAAGATGAAACCATAACGGAGGTCCAGGAGGGGGCACAGTTGACAAGAAACATCTGGAGGCAAGAAACACTGGGTCAGGCAGGTGACAGGTTCTCTGGTCGCCAGGAATCGTCCCGTGGAGTCGGGTTCTGGGGACCGAGGACTCGCCTATCAACCCCTGGTCTATGCCGGGAGGGCAGCTCGGCCTAGGGGAGCAGCGTCAGGTGAGCGAAGGCCTTTACCTGAAGGTACTGTCACGGGTGATGGAGCCACGGCTCCAGGTTCTCACATCCTGGGCTGCAACCAGCTCGTTTTCATAGACGGCCTGGTCCCCAGTGACCTGGGAGGGCAGGTGAAGGAGACGTGGCACGCCTGCTGGCCAGGGCGCTGCCCCAGCCCCTACTGGCCATGACCGCTGCCCCGGCCCCTGCCTGCGGGGCCCGGCCCCTGGCAATGCTATCCTGTTCGTGTTTGTGGCGTTTTCTGCTCCACAGGCAGAGGCAGGGGACATAGTCACGTCACTTCACTTGAGGACAAAGGAAAGGGAGGGGTTGGGAGGACTCAGGTGAGCTCAGGTGAGGCCCCTGCTTGCTTCTGGGGCAGGCGGATAAGAGGCGCCCCTGCCTGTTCTCTGCTGGTGGGGGTGCCAGGCCCCATGTGCAGGGGCGGCTGGGTGGCAGAGTCCCTGGGGTGAGCTCTCCTGTCCTGGAGACCAGCCCCCTGGACGCAGTGTTGGGGAGACTCTTCCTGCCCAGAGCCCTAGCTCCCCTGCCCCAGCCACGAGCACACGCCTGTCGCTTCCAGGGTGAGGCCCCCAGCGGAGGGTCCCCCGCTCACCCGTCGGGTGGTCCCGCAGGCGGTGAAGGGGAACCGGAACAGGGCGAAGGCCGGTGTGGCCACCGCGGGGCGGCATTCGCTGTCGTTGCCGAGGGCCAGGCGCACGGAGTCCAGGAGCAGGGGCGGCGAGGTGACGTTGCGGGCCACGGCCACGGCGAAGTGGCCGTCCCGGCTGCAGCGGGAGGTCACTGCAACGGCAGAGGCTGCTCAGCGGCGTCCCCGCCAGCGGCCGGCTGCCCAGGCCTAAGAGTTCCATTATGTTCACGGCGCCCCCGACCGGGTGCCCGTCCAGCTGCCCACGCCCAGCTCGGGGTCACTCGTGGGTGCCTCCCCTGGGGGACTCAGCACATGTTTAACCTCAGTGCTTCTTGTTCACTAGTTTCAGAGCTGAGGACAGAGGGGCGTTTGCCTTGGGAAACCTCGGCAGGATGGGATGTGGAGATAGTGGCGTTTGAGAGCAGGCCCTCTAGCCTCAGCCTGGGGGCCACTGGCCTGGGCGGGCCGTTCCTGGCTCACCCAGGTGGCGCCTGCACCTGGACTTGGCTTCCAGGCGGCATTATGTTATTTTTAAAGTCCTCACCCAAGGAAACTTAGTCCATGGGTTAATATTTTAGGGAGAGTAGGAGGGAGGGGGGAAGAGAGAGAGAGAAGGCGGGGGAGAGAAATATCAATGTGAGAGAGACATCGCATCAACCGGCTGCCTCCCCCACAGGTGCCCTGACCAGGGCTGGGATCAAACCTTGACTGGGAACTACAGCAGAGACCCTCTGGGGCACAGGCCGGCTCTAACCACTGCACCACACTACCCAGATGCCTGTTATTTTGTTCTGCGTGGTTTCTAGGAGCCCAGAAACCAGGAGCCTGGAGGGAGCTTGCACTGCTTGGGCCTCTGCCTCCAGCCCCTGCCTCCTGAGGGGGGTCGGTGGGGGACTAGCCCTTCCCCAGGCTCAGCTGCAGGTACCTGGGGGGTGAGGGGTGGGGGGGACTAGCCCTCCCCCAGGCTCAGCTGCAGGTACCTGGGGGGTGAGGGGTGAGAGGTGGGGGGGGCTCGCCCTCCCCGGGGCTCAGCTGCAGGTAATGGGCACCTTCCTCCGCTGCTTGTAGAGCAGCCGCCTCACCTGTGTTTCCATAGTAACAGGACCTGCCGCTGGGGTTGTAGCAGCAGCCCAGCGCCTTGCAGGCCCGGGGAGTGGCGGGAGCCGGGGCGCAGGGCAGCCTGTCCCCCACGGGGACCGAGTCGCACAGGTGAGCGCCCAGCGCGTGGAGGCCTAGACAGTGGGGAGCAGAGCAGCCCGGGCTGGTGACAGAGCCGGGGCCTTGGGAGCCCCTGCTCCCATCCGTCTCCCTGTCCCGCCCGCGGCGAGGTCTGGGGAATGAGGCCCATGGGAGGCACCTGGGAGAGGCCCTGAAACGGGCCCTTTCTGAGAAAGAAGGGGGCTCCTCACCCTCCTGCAGGGAACGGTTTCTCCCGTGGGGGTGCCCTCCGCCCAGGCCCCCGTGCCTGCTCGCCTCTCGGACCTGCAGCGGCCGGCGCGGCAGATCAGCGTGGGTCTGGGGGGGGGCCGGTCACCCCGTTTTATCAGCGTTGCCCCTTTAGACCACGGGCTGCACCCCTGCCTCAGGTGGAGGTTCTCTGAGGATGCGCGTGGGGGGAGGGGCCTTCACGAGTGACAGGTGTCACTCAAGGCGCAGGTGGGCCTGGCCCGGCGCGTACCTGGGAGGCCGACGGGGCACTTGAGCAGCTTGGCCGTGGCCACTGCCTGGCGCCCGGCTGTGTCCACCTGCTCCAGGCCCACGGGCATGACGTGCTGGGAACCCTGCAGAGACGGGCCGGCGTCAGCCTGGGGGCCGGGCGGCTCGGGGGTCCCCAGGCCGGGCCCTACTCACCCACTCGGTGACGTAGCAGCCGCCGTAGGACGCCTCCAGCACCAGGGAGCTGCCCGGGCCAGCCGACACCCGGGTGCCGCAGCCGGAGTCGTTCTGCAGCCGGTGCAGCAGCCCGTGGTCGTCTGGGGGGAGGGAGGGAGGGAGGGAGGGCAACAGTCACCAGTCACCACGGCGACCGCACAGGGAGCACCCAGCTCCCCGGGGCCACCCACCGCCCAGGAGAGGGACCCCAGGGCCCGCTGAGGACAGGAGGCCGGAGGGCGGCTGGAGGAGGCGGCAGAGAGGAGCCATTGCCGGGGGGCAGGCCAGGTGAGTGGGGGCGGCAGCCTTACCCCAGGCTATCAGCGTGGGAGGCGTCCCCGAGGCCTGGCCCAGGGGGTGGACCGTGTACTGGAGGCCCTGGGGCCCGCAGTGCAGTTCACCCGCATCTTCCGGGGCGTCGGGCTCAGGCTGGCCGCTCAGGGCCAGAGACAGGGGCAGGCAGAGCAGCAGGGGGCACAGCCACATGGCGCCGGGAGCGCGGGGCGTCCTGCAGGTCGAGGTCGAGGTCAGTGCCGGAGCTGGAGCCGGCGTGGGGGCGCCGGAGGGCCCCTTATATGCGGAGAAGGAAGGCCAGGTGTGGGCGCACAGCGGTCCCCGCAGGTGGGGCTCCTGCCTCCCGGCCCGGCCCGCAGCGGCCTCGGGTTAAGCGGGTTAAGCGGCGCGATCAGATCGAGGCCCCCCGCGGCCCAGAGAAACCTGGGGCCTGTTATCCAGGAGGCTCCCACGGGGCCGGGGCAGAGCCGACCGCTCGCCGGCCTCGGAAGGCCTTTCTCCGGGACCCTGCACGTCTGGGCCGGCCCTGCTCTGCCACCGCGAGCTGCAGGCCCCGCGCAGGCATCCGTGTTCTTGTCTGTAACGCGGGCACAGTAGCCCCGGCGGGAGCGTCTGTGTTGCGTGGCCGGCGCTCCTTGGCCTGGTCAGGGCCCGGAGGACCCTCGTCCCCGTGCCCACAGGTTCTAAGCTTTCACGAGAATTCACGGCACCATGGGCCTGGCTTGGAATCCCAGGAGAATGCCCAGGAAAAGCTGACAGGACCCCGCCTGGTCCCGAGATCGAAATCGAGCCCAGAAGTCCTGACGAGTCCCGCTCGGTCACAGCGCCAGGCCAGGCGGCGGGGCATCCCGAGAGGTGTAGGGATGGGGAACCCTCCTCCTGGGAGGGGACCGCGGGGACTCCCACCAATGTGCCCCCATGAACTTCTAGCCTCATGTTTATCCCCTGAAACACTTTCTCAAGTTGGCTCAGAATCCTAGCCACAGCACTGCGAGTTGCCTGGCCGGCGCGGCTCAGCCGTTGAGCATCGACCTATGAACCAGGAGGTCACGGTTCGATTCCCGGTCAGGGCACAGGCCCGGGTTGCAGGCTCCATCCCCAGTGTGGGGCGTGCAGGAGGCAGCCGATCAGAGGTTCTCTCTCGTCATTCATGTGTGACCCCTGTCAGTGAGTGACAGCTTTTCCACCTGCAAAGTGGGGGTGGTCATTGACCTTCCTCCAAAAAACCTCATGGTGTCCTCTGTCGATAGGGGGCGGCAACGGCTCTGGTACTGTTTCTACTAATGCCTCATGGGGTTGCTTCATTTTGCACAACAATGAGAGTCTACTACAGTGGGGCCTTGACTTACGAGTTTACTTCGTTCTGAGACACAGAGTTCGTTAAGGAGCTCGTTAAGGAGCTGGTTAACGCAAATTACTCTATCAACTCAATGCAAAAAATCGGCCGAGAGACAGCTGGTATCTCAAAAAACTCGTTAGTCGGGACACTCGTAAGTCAAGGCCCCACTGTAGTATGTACCTATATATCTACATATCTATACATCTCTATATCTATACATCTATATCTACCCTATACATTTATATCTATCTATATCTATATCTCAGATATAGCAGATATGCTGCGTATGGCTTTGAAAACCAGATATATGTCAGGTATTCATTCACTGGGGGAAATTCCATCTCTGACATTCTACATCATTGATTTCTCTGCATCCCAGGGTGGAGGGCTAACTTCCAAGTGGAAACGTTAACTGTTAAATTCTTAGCCCAGATGCACCTGCTCAGTCAGCTCTGCAGGTTCCCGCCTGCTGGCACCAGGCCCGATGCGTGTAAGTCGCGGCCAGGCATGTGGCCGTGGGCTGGAGGGCGGGGAGCCCAGGGCGCTGAGCATGGAGCTGGGACTTGAGGAGACTTGGGCCCTAGCAGGGGCTTTACCCCCCTCTCCCCTTAGCTCAGCCCGGGAGGCAGACCCCCACCCAGTGTGCGGGTTTCAGGATAAACGAAGTGGCCGCTCTCTCTGGCCGCCCGGCTTCTGGCACGTTCCCCTCCGGCTGCCTTCAGTCAGAGGCGACTCTGCAAAATACTTGGGGCAGAAGGTCAAGTGGAACATCAGACGTTCAAAGGGACAGGACAGGAATGCAAACACGACTCCTCTGCAGTTCCTCCCGCCTCCTTTGTCCCCTTATCAGTGAGGAGGAGGCTCAGGCACGCTCCCCGCTCCCCTCTCCCCGCTGCCCGCCGCCTGCGCCCGCCTCCTGTGGTCCTTGAACCTGAATCCTGTGTCTGGATCCTGGTTACCAAGGAAATGGAAAGTGGGACAGGAATAGAGACGATGCTCGTCTGCAGAATCCTAATGGAACCAGAGGAACTGCCCGCCACGAACCCCCCATGCTCACGGGCTCATGTCTGACTGCTCTTAGGAATCACCCTTGTTGTAATATTAATTGCTAAATACGGTTTTTAGATATATACAAACATTCGTCAGCATTGGTTAGGCAAGCCTTAGAGTGGACAGAACTCCTCCCTCCCCGCCTTTAATGAAGCAGCGAAAATGCCAGGCTACTTCGTAAAGAAATTAATGGAAAGGCCAGAGGATTTGCAAGTTGAATGCATGTGACTACCTCCGCTGTAAGGGCTTGTTCTGGGAATTATTTTGTACAAACATCCATGAGGTGTTGTTTGCAGAAATGCTTTCCTTTCGTGTTCGCGGAACCCGCTGTTTCATGGCTGGCGGGGAAACCTGGGCCAGGGGTTGGCAGTTTGGTGGCGTGCGGGGAACGTGGGCAGGCGGCCTCGTTGAGGCGGGTGCGGCCACGCCATTCTGAGCGGGCAAACAGCAACGTGGATTGAGAGACAGAGAGAAGAGAGAAGTGAGGCGCGAGGTGTGCCCACAGGGCATGAACTTGCCATGTTTTTGCGGACATCTGTGGACGGAGAAAAGGCCCACATGCTAACCTGACGAACTCAGGGCTGGCCTGCGTGGCAGCCTTGCAAAGTCAAGACCTAAACTAACCACCAAGGATGGTCTGAAATTAAAAGCCTTTCATTAAACAGCAGTTTATGGAGGGTCGTCATGTTCTAGGCCAGTGTCTTCCTTGACAAAGATCAACTTTGATCTCTACGGAGCCTCCTGTCTTTGTGCGTCTGATAGCACACGTGTGGAATGTCGGGGTGACTAGTAACTTCCCTTTTCCTAGGCCCCTCGGGGCACAACCGATGCACCAGGGCGCTGGCCACACATTCCCTCCCTGCTATTGTTATCGTGTTAAATGCTGATTGTTAACTAACCTGCATCCACCATGTCAAAGAAGCACGCGTCTATCATTTTGCTTTTTATCCAATCCCAGAGGTCCCTCCCCTTTACTTTCTCCCACTTCCCTAATCTATCACCAATGGATTTCATGTAACCCACTTACCTCTTTCGATTAGCCTATATAATAAAAGGCTAATAATATGCAAATCGACCAACTGGCAGAACGACCAGTTACTATGAGGTGCACTGACCACCAGGGGGCAGATGCTCAACACGGGAGCATCTCCCTGGTGGTCATTGCGCTCCCACAGGGGGGAGTGCTGCTCAGCCAGAAGCCAGGGTCACGGCTGGTGAGTGCTGCAGCAGTGGCAGGAGCCTCTCCCACTTCCACGGCAGTCGGACATCCCCCGAGGGCTTCTGGACTGCATGAGGGTGCAGGCCAGGCTGAGACAACCCCCACCGAGTGCACGGATTTCGTGCACCGGGCCTCTAGTAATGTGTAAAACCAGGTGAAAAACCACCATTCTCCAGGGCATGATCTCAGGACATGGAGATTCTGCATCCCAGCAATTGTCGACAGTTTGGCTCAAATACACTCGCAAAAATTCTTGACAGGTTTGAATGTTCTCTTACCTGAACACATCCATACCCTACAGTTCTCAGTGTTGAAAGGGGACTTGCCGGTGACAACTCTGAAATGGCCCAGGGACACTTCTCACCACCACGGACCAGACCTTTTACTGATTTGCTAGCACAAGACAAGGTGAGGCCAGACAGCGGCACAGTGCACCGCGGTCGGCCGCGAACTACTGCCGAGATGCTGGCGGCAGAGGCAGCCTCCCGTGCAGACTGCCTACCGCCCCGCTGGGGCCCGCAGGGGGACCTCGTGCTGGGCTAAAGATGCAAGAAAAGCAACCACGCGGTGGTTCCTGGAAATGAATTGATCTGATGGTTGCGCTGCTAGCAATTCTGTGATGTCAAGGCCAGCCACCAAAAAAAGCAGGAAATAAACACCAAGAAAACAAAATATTTTGTGCTTACGGGTTAATAATGGCTGTGTGACCGGACAATCCATGGGCCTGTGTTACCTGTCACGACTTGCGCCAGTTCAGCAGAGACAGGGGTGAGTCCTAGATGAGCGTCTATTCCAGTCCTGCCGGCAGCGTGGAGAGCGGCAGGGCACCCACAAACATCTGCTCTGCACCCCGCCCCCCATCAGCCAGCTGCTTACATAGGGTAGAAGGACGAAGATGACATGGGGAAGTAGGCAAAAGAGTTATGCCGAATGGGTGGTTTGCAGGTAATGGGGGCTGGAGATTTGCAAAGGCCTGTGGGTATGCAAAGGCGGGGGGTCTTCAAAGGGCTGGCGGCCCTGGTGTCTGCAACGAGGTTGTCGGTCTTTCCGTGATCACAGGCAGCGCCCGGATGGGGAGGAGGGGCCGCCTGTCCAGGTGAGCGCCCAGGCCCACAGGCTGCTCCCAGCCAGGTTAGGCTGTGCCTTCTCCAATCAGAACAACACCACCGCGGCCAACAGAGCGTGATGCCTGTTCTTACCGTCCTCGCTGGTCCCCAACAGGCTATTTCTGCCGCTCTCATAAAGGAAGCCACACATTTCTGCTTTCAGAATGAGTTTGACTTTGTCCTCCGCTTCCTGTAAGCCAATCCATGATTTAAAAAGCACACAAACGCTTTGAGACAGAGCGGATTGAAAATGTTTTATGATGCATGTTGAGCTTTCGGTGTAAGCTGCTGTCAACAGCTGCAGGGCAAGGCGAGGGTTGGAGTCCCTCCTCCACCTCCCCCCACGGATGTAGGTGGGGAGGGGGGCCGGGGGGGGGGGGTGCTGGGACCTGGGGCTCTGCAGCCAGGGGCCAGGCAGTGAAATGTGTGGGAAGAGGAATTGGATTTCAGATGCTGCCTCCGTCATTCATCGTAAAAA